GAAGAGCGGGGGTCTGGGGAAAACTGACGCTTAAGCAGAGGACAGGAGTCTGAAGAGGAAGTGGTGGGCTGAAGTTCTGAATCAAGACCAGGGCCCTGGTTCTGACTGATTCCTTTTTCCTCTGCCAGGCAGCTGACTCTTCTGGTGGCCAGCGAGGACTCAAGTTACATGCCGGCCAGGGTGGTGGTGTTTGGGGGTGACAGTGTCAGCTGCATCAGCACGGAGCTCAACACGGTGGGGACCCTGTGCCCCGCTTCCCCTTACTCTCCATCCGTCTGTTGGTCCCGGGGCCTTATCAGAAGGACCCAGTCCGTGGGGAGCTCCCACATCCCTTCCTCCCAGGCAGGCAACTGCCTCGTAAGCAGCGAGAATAGAATTAGGACTGTGGAGGCGTGCAGATCCACGGGCGCAGGGCGGGAGAGGTGAAGGGCACACACTGTCACAGACTTGGTTGCTGTCAACAGTCCTTCCCGTTCCACTTCTGCAGGTGACAGCTCTCTGTCTACCTCTTCTCCCCTGCCCCACCAGGTGAACGTGATGCCCTCTGCCAGCCGGGTGGTCCTCCTGGAGAACCTGAACCGTTTCTGGCCTGTCATCCAGATCCGCATAAAGCGCTGCCAGCAGGTGGGGTGAGGGCAAAGGCTGGGGGCTGGGGACCAGGAGGAAGCACAGGGTCTCCGCAGTGCCTGGATTCTCCAGCATTCAGGCCAGGCTCAGGCCAAGGGTCCTCCTCGGTCTGCTCCTGGATGGCCCAGGAACCTGTTGAGTTCCAGAGATGCGGGAATGTCTCCAGGGAGCCGAGGGTGTGAGACCTGTGCACATTGCAGGGCGGCATCGACACCCGGGTTCGGGGCGTGGAGGTCCTGGGCCCCAAGCCCACTTTCTGGCCACTATTCCGAGAGCAGCTGTGTCGCCGTACATGTCTCTTCTACACAATTCGGGCGCAAGCCTGGAGCCGGGACATTGCAGAGGACCGCAAGCGCCTCCTCCAGCTCTGCCCCAGGTGAGTGGGCGGGAGGCAGGCAGGGAGGAGAGGGGATGGTTAAGGGAGCAGGAAATGTGCTTCAGGGGAGCCTGAAGGGTAAAGCAGCAGCTGGGATCGGGGACAGAGCAGAGATGAGAAGTGTGTGCTGAGGCGGGGAGCAGGGTAAGGGACTGGCTCAGCTCGGGGTGACTGGGAGTTGAGCGTGCTTGAGTGGAGGCCTCAGGGAAGTCTTTAATCCTTGACCAGACACTCTTTGTTCCCAGACTGAACAGGGTTTTGCGTCACGAGCAGAATTTTGCCGATCGATTCCTCCCTGACGACGAGGCCGCCCAAGCACTGGGCAAGACCTGCTGGGAGGCCCTGGTCAGCCCCCTGGTGCAGAACATCACCTCCCCGGGTAACCGTCCCCACCCCTGGCCCAACTAACCCGCTCCTCATAATTATTCCCAGGGCTGACCTGAGTTAATGCTCTTGGTTCTTTTGGTTCCTGTCTTTATCCCTGAAGGCTTGTCACCTCAGTGTTCCTCTCCTTCCTGCCCCAGGGACTGCTCCCTGAAACTCTGGTATTTGAATTCTCACCCCCACCGCCACCCCCACCCTGTTCCCATGTCCCCAGACTCCAGCTGAAGCAAACCTTGGTGAGGGGAGGACGAAGGCCCTGCTGCCCCCAAACCCTTTTTGTACAGTCACTCCTTCTCTGCCCTTCTCCTGGGCCCTCCCTCCCCCATCACCCATGGAGACCTGTTCCTGACCCATGTTCTTTTAGATGTGGAAGGTGTGAGCTCCCTGGGGTGGCTGCTGGATCAGTACTTAGAGCAAAGAGAGAGCTCTCGGAATCCCCTAAGTCGAGCAGCAGCCTTTGCCTCTCGAGTCCGTCGCCTTTGCCACTTGCTGGTGCACGTGGAGCCTCCTCCTGGGCCTTCTCCTGAGCCGTCCACTCGGCCCTGTGAGTCCCAGTCTGGCCAGTTGAACTAAGAATCTGGGCAGCGGTGATATCTGACTCCTCTCTCTCCTGGGTTTTACTCATCCTTTCTGCTTTGCCATGGGCCTTCCGAGGGGTCAGTTCCCAGGATGCTGGGACTCGCCCAGGGACTGAGATGAACCCCGTCCTTTGACCTCTGTGTCCACAGTCAGCAAGAACAGTAAGGGTCAGGACCGGAGCCCTGGGCCTTCACCAGTTCTTCCAAGCAGCAGCCTGAGGAACATAACCCAGTGCTGGCTGAGTGTGGTGCAGGAGCAGGTGGGCAGAGGGAGCTGAGGTCTGGGCGGGACCGAGGCTGCTGGGCTGCCCCTTGGATGCATTTTCCCCTTTCTCCTCAGGTCAGCAGGTTCCTGGCTGCGGCCTGGAGGGCGCCAGACTTCGTGCCCCGCTACTGTAAACTCTACGGGCGCTTGCAGAGAGCAGGCTTGGAGCTCTTTGGGCCCCGAGCAGCCTTCATGCTGGCCCTGCGCAGCGGCTTCTCGGGTGCCTTGCTACAGCAATCCTTCCTCACCGCTGCCCACGTGAGTGCTGGGGACCGCCGCTTCCCAGTCCATTTCTGCTCTGCCTTTTCACCTCCTTCCACCCGCCACCCTTCTACTCCACTCCCTCTTCATGGTTTGTTGCTGCCCTTCGTATTGCCCCCAGATGAGTGAGCAGTTCGCCAGGCACATCGACCAGCAGATCCAGGGTGGCCTGATGGGTGGAACTCCTGGAGTGGAAATGCTGGGGCGGCTCCAGTGGCACCTGGAGCCCATCATGGTCCTCTCTGGCCTGGAGCTGGCCACGACTTTTGAGCACTTCTACCAGTGAGTGCAGGGCTGGAGAAGTAGGGCATGGGAGGCATAGAGTCTAGGGAAGGTGAGGGAGGAGCAGTAGGGAGGAGAGATTAAGATGCAGAGGTGGCCGTGGCACTGGTGGGAAGGACAAGGTGAGGGATGGCCTGTGACCCAGGCAGGCTACAACAGAGGTGGTACCTACGTTCGGAGTCGGGGGGGGCCATGCCGAGCCCCCACGCTGAGGCTCGGCCTGGGCTGTGCGTGCTGCAGGCACTACATGGCGGACCGTCTCCTGAGCGTGGGCTCGAGCTGGCTGGAGGGGGCCGTGCTGGAGCAGATCGGCCCCTGCTTCCCCAACCGCCTCCCCCAGCAGATGTTGCGGAGCCTGAGCACCTCGGAGGAGCTGCAGCGCCAGTTCCACGTGTACCAGCTCCAGCGACTTGATCAGGAACTCCTGAAGCTGGAGGACACAGAGAAGAAAATACAGGTGCATGCTGGGGAAGGGAATTAGCAAGTGGGAGGGTGGGAGGCACAGAGAGAGGCACAGGGCAGACCAGGTCTCTCAGGAGGAAGAGGAGGAAGAGGAGGCTGAGAAAGAACTATTTATCGAAGATCCAAGTCCAACAGTTTCTGTACTGGTCCTGTCACCACGCTGCTGGCCGGTCTCTCCACTCTGCTACCTGTACCATCCCAGAAAGTGCCTTCCCACAGAATTCTGTGATGCCCTTGACCGCTTCTCCAATTTCTACAACCAGAGTGAGGAGATGGGGGCAGGCATTTGGAGATTGGGGTGAGATTTGGGGTGGCATCTCAGAGAGGAAGAGGAGAGGATCTTTGGACAGGAATGTGTAGATATGAAGAAAAATAGCCTCTAGAGAGAACCATCTCCTAAGGAAGGGTGGAAAAGTGTGGATTAGATCTTCATTAATTTCTCTTATTTTCTTTACTTTTATATGAATTTGTTCTATTTTCCTTTTTTTAACTTCAAGTTGCATGCTTACTTAATTTTTAGTCCTTTCAGACTTCTGATTTTCAAATGAAACTATTTAAGGCTATTCATTTCCCTCTCAACATTACTTTAGCTGCATTCAGTAAGTTTTTTGGTTTTATTTTTTTTTAGAGTTTTTTTTTGACATATAGTTAGTATTCAGTGACGTGCACAAATCTTAATTATAGCTTAATGAATTTAATGTCCATATGCCCTCCCATAACCACTCCCCAGATCAAGATACAGAACATTTCCAGCACCCCAAAAGGCTTCCTCCTTCATGTCCCCTTTCTAGTCAGCATCTTCTTCCAAGAGAAATTATTCTTTTTCCCTTTATCATCATAGATTTTTGCCTTTAAGCATCAGGTAAGTGGAATCATAGAGTATGTATCCTGCTGTGTCTGATATCTTTCACTCAACAGAACGTCTGTGGGAGTTATTCAGGTTGTCAGTTATGTCGTTACGTTGTTCTTTTGCATTGCTTAGTCATATTTCACTGCATGAATGATGGACATTTGGGATGTTGCATAAGTTTTTATCATGTAGTACTTGATTATTGTTTAGTTCTAAGAATTTTCTAATTTCCATTTTTTTTCTTTGATTTATTAGTTTCTTTGAACTATATTTTAAAATATTTATTTATTTGGCTGTGTTGGGTCTTAGTTGCGGCATGCAGGATCTTTCCTTGAGGCACGTGGGCTTTAGTTGTGGCGCACGGGCTCAGTAGTTGCAGCGTGTGGCATCTCTCGTTGTGGCACGCAGGCTCCAGAGTGTGTGGACTCTGTAGTTGCGGCATGTGGGCTCTTTAGTTGTGGTGCATGGGCCTAGTTGCCCCGTGGCATGTGGGATTTTAGCTCCCCGACCAGGGATCGAACCTGCGTCCCCTGCATTGGAAGGTGGATTCTCAACCACTGGACCACCAGGGAAGTCCTGGAAGTATATTTTTAAGTTTCCAAACTTTTATTTTGCTTAGTTATATTTCTGGTTTAGATGTTTTGTTTTGTTTTGTTTTTTGTTTTTTGCGGTACGTGGGCCTCTCACTGTTGTGGCCTCTCCCGTTGTGGAGCACAGGCTCCGGTTGCGCAGGCTCAGCGGCCATGGCTCATGGGCCCAGCCGCTCTGCGGCATGTGGGATCTTCCCGGACCGGGGCACGAACCCGCGTCCCCTGCATCAGCAGGCGGACTCTCAACCACTGCGCCACCAGGGAAGCCCTCTGGTTTAGATTTTAACCTTCATTCCCTTGTGGCCAAAGAACATGATTTCTATGATTCTGAATCTTTGTAATTTATTGAGACTTCCTTTACGGCCTAGTAGATGGTCAGATTTTATAAGTGTTCTATGTGTGATTAAGAAGAATGTGTATTCTTCAACTGTTGGATATAGATTTCTGTATATTCCACTAAATTGACCTTGTGTTGTTCAAATCTGTAACCTTACTCATTTTTGTCTGTTTGCTCTATTACTTAGAGAAGTATGCCAAAATTTACCATTACAATAGTGTATTTTTAAGCTTCTAATCATGTCAGTTTTGCTTTATATATTTTTTGACTGTATTATCAGATACAAGCTTAAAATCATTTAACAGTGCTGTCCAATAGAGCTTTCTGCAATGATGGAAAAGTTCTTTTCTGTGCTGTTCAGTATGACAGTCATTTGTGTCTGTTGAGCACTTGAGATGGGACTAGTGTGACTGAGGAGCTTGATATTTAATTTTATGTACTTTAACCAGTTTAAAGTTAAAGAGCCACATATGGCTAGTGGCTACCGTAATGAACTATGCAGGTTTAGAATCTTCATGGTCAGTTAAGCCTCATTATTGTGAAATGACCATCTTTCTTTCTAGTAAAGTTTTTTCTCTTAAGATCTATTTTTATCTGGTATTAATAGTATACCAGCTTTCTTTTTCTTTTTAATTTTTTTGGGCACGCTGCACGGCATGCAGGATCTTAGTTTGCTGACCAGGGATGGAACCCGTGCCCCCTGCAGTGGAAACGCAGAGTCTTAACCCCTGGACCACCAGGGAAGTCCCTATACCAGCTTTCTTTGATTAGTATCTTTCCTAGTATATCTTCTTCTATCCTTTTACTTTTTTTTTTTGAATTCATCATTCTTTTAGGTCTCTTTTATTGTGGTAAAATATGAATAGCAAAGTTTGCCATTTTAACCATTTTAAGTATAAAATTCAGTTGTTCCTTTACTTGAAAATTTTTTTATTTGGAAATTCAAATTTACAGAAAAACTGTAAGAATAATACAAAGAGCACTCATATATTCTTTATCCAAGTTTACTTTTTGTTAACTTTTCACTCATTTGCTTTTATCATTTGCTCTTTGTGTACATATACATATCTATAAATGTGTATATGTGGTATGTGTGTGTGTATACTTTTTTCTCATGAACTGCTGCATATATGCTGGCTCTTTGCCCCTAAATAATACACATTTCCTCAGAATAAAATATTCTCTTATAAAACCGCAGTACATTTATTACTTCCAAATATTTAACATTCATATAATACTTTTAATCTACTTTCCATATTCCAATTTTGTCAGTTACTCCAAAATTTTTTTTTTTTTTTTTTCCAGTCCAGGAGAGGAGCCAGTCTAAGATCACCCGTTATGTTTAGTTGTCATGTCTCTAGTCTCCTTTAGTCTGGAACAATTCCTTGGCCATTCTTTGTCTTTTGTGATGTTGACATTTTGGGAGATTATAGTCCTTTAAAATTTTCTAAGTAGTTCCTGTCTTAAGTTGGTATATTTCCTCATGATTAGATTCAAGTTATGTATTCCTGGCCATAGTACTAACTGATATTATATACTTCTCAGGGTATTACATCTGGAAGCACAGGATTACCATCTGCCCCTTGTTTGTGATGTTAATTTTGACAACCTGGTCAAGAGGTTGTTTGATTTCTCCACTGTATAGTTAATATTTTTTCCCTTGCTACTATTAATGAGCAATCTGAAGGTCCTGCTGTATAGCACAGGGAACTCAATGTTATGTGGCAGCCTGGATGGGAGAGGAGTTTGGCGGAGAATGGATACATGTGTATGTATGGCTGAATCCCTTTGCTGTGCACCTGAAACTATTCACAACATTGTTAATCGGCTCTACTCCAATATAAAATAAAAAGGTAAAAAAAAATAAGCAATCTGTTGGCAGTATACTTTAAAACATGCCAGTATTCTACTCTCATCAGAATTTCCCCCAGTAGCATTTTACTTTTTTTTTTTTTTTTTGGCTGCCTCTGTGGCTTTTAGATCTTAGTTCCCCAACCAGGGATTGAGCCCAGACCCCTGCACTGAGAGCATGGAGTCCTAACTGGACCGCCAGGGAATTCCCTCATTTAACTTTTAACTTTACCATACTCTTATATTTTAGGAATGTGCCTTATAAATACCTAGAATTTGTTTTTTTAATCAACCTAATAATCTCTTTTTGAATTGTCAATTTTTGTCTATTTATAATTATTATGAGTAATGACGTATTTGGCTTTTATTTTTAACCTCTTAGTTCACCCTTCTTATTAATTTTAAATTTTAGTTATTTCATATACACAAAAGAGTATGTAAAATGTACAGGTAAAGCAAAAAAAAAAAAAAAAAGGAACACCTTTATTGATGTGATTCTGCCCTGAGGTTTTATGCATTTTATTATTTTGGATTTTAAAAATTCCTTTTTTGTCTCTATCAGTTTTGGAAGTTATGCATTCTATTTCTATAGTTGCTTGCCCTTATATTTTTAATGTAAACTTAACTTGTTACTATCACTTTGCATCTTCCTGAACAATAAAAGGACCATAGAAAATCTTAATTCCAGCTCTAACTCCCATCTTGTATCTTTTTTTACCTTCCAGCTAGTCATCATTATTATTGTCTTATTCAGTTTGGATTTGCCATCATACCAATTGCTTTAGTCACCATTCCTCTTGGATTTTTGAAAAATATTTATTTATTTTTTTGGCTACGTCAGGTCTTAGTTGCGGCATGCAGGATTTTTTTGTTGTGGCATGCAGGCTTTTCGTTGCAGTGCACGGGCTTTTCTGTAGTTGCAGCGTGAGGACTCCGTAGTTGTGGCACATGGGCCCTGTAGTTGTGGTGCGTGGGCTCCAGAGCACGTGGGCTCTGTAGTTTGCGGCACGTGGACTTTCTCATTGAGGCGTGCGAGCTCAGTAGTTGTGGCGCACTGGCTTAGTTGCCCTGCGGCGTGTGGGCTCTTAGTTCCCCAACCAGGAATTGAACCCATGTCCCCTGTGTTGGAAAGCAGGTTCTTTACCACTGGACCACCAGGGAAGTCCCTCCTTTTGCATCTTGATCCTTCTTTCTGACTTCAATTTTCTTCCTAAAGTACATCCTTTAGAAGTTGTTTTTTTGTTTGTTTTTTTGCAGTACGCGGGCCTCTCACTGCCGCCGCCCCTCCCTTTGCGGAGCACAGGCTCCAGATGCGCAGGCCCAGCGGCCATGGCCCACGGGCCCAGCCGCTCTGTGGCATGTGGGATCTTCCCGGACCGGGGCACGAACCCGCGTCCCTTGCATTGGCAGGCGGACCCTCAACCACTGCGCCACCAGGGAAGCCCGGCAGGTGGATTCTTAACCACTGCACCACCAGGGAAGCTCTATGAGAAACTTTAGACATACACAAAAGTAGACAGAATAGATAAACTTCAGTATACCAACATATATCAATTCATGGCTGATTTTGCTTCATTTGTACCCCACCCGCTTTCCCTAGCCCTCAAATTTAAGGTAAGGACTCTCTTTTTAAAAGCAAGGACACTACAATTATCAGACTTACAGAAATTAGTAACAGTTCCTAATATTATCAGATATACAGTCAATATTCATATTTCCCAAATTATCTTGAGCTTTTAAAATTAGGGTTTTTTTTTTTTTTTGCCTGTTGAGGATCCAAACAAAGCCCACACATTACATTTGATGAGTTATATCTCCTGTCTCCCTTACTGTATAGGTTCATGCCTCTGTTTTCTTCCCCCTTGCAGTTGTTTGTAGAATAAACTGGGTAGTTGTCCAAATAGAGTTGTCCACTGGCTGAATTTTGCTGATTGTGTCTACACGGTGTCCTCTAGGACCGTACTCTGTCTGCTTTCCTGAAGACCGATATTTAGATGTAGGAGCTTATTCAGATTCAGAGTTGATTTCTCGGGCAAGGGCACTTCATAGGTAGTATCGTGGAGGCTGTCTCTCTCTGTGATGTTAAAGTGGATCAGTGGATTTCACTGTTGTCTGTCCAGTTTATACCTTATATATAATTTCCCATTAGCTCTTTGCTAGACGCTCATTCATTCTCATTGCCATTAGGGTTAGGAACTAGTGACATTCTGCTTTTGTCATTCCCTCTCCATGTGTTAGCCAGAATGCTTCCTCTATAAAGAGAAACTTCCTCTCATCAGCTTTTTGGTTACCCTGAAGTACCATTTATACAGGAAAGGCTTGATTCTCTTCTCTTCCCGCTTATTTTTAACCAGTTTTCAAAATAATGTGTTGGTTCTCTAGCTTCCTCCAAAGATGACTGGTGAGGTCTTTTAAAAAAATATTTTGAACTCATGGCTTTTAAAACATTTCATGTGTTTCAGTTCATCGCAGGTGTTTTTTTTTTTTTGATCTTCACATTGTCCCATCTTTGGTCAGCGAGCACCTCTCAGGCTGGCTCCTTTTGATACCCTCTCCCTTTGACAGCATCCTTGTTTTCTAGTCTGAGCAAACAGCCCAGGCTCACAGGAGAAGGAAGAGACCCAGCCCAGCGGGTCTTTAAAACTGTCAGCTCCCTGGGAGCAAAACCCAGCTCTCCTCTCTGGTGTTTCTGCCATGGAGCTCCCCTGGCGCAGGGTGGGCTCCCAGGTCCCTGTGGCAGACACAGAGGAACCTGAGCCCTGGATGCTGGACGAGGCACCTCTGTGTCTGTGAATGCTGAGCCCTGCTCCCCACAGAGACTAGCAAAGTTTGGCAAATGGTGCACCCTCACCGTGACGCTGACCCCTTGTTTCCCCTACTGTGTCTCCACATTTTCCCTCTACACTTTCCCAGGTCAGAACCATCCAGTCCTGGACATGGGACCACATCGGCGACTGCAGTGGACATGGCTGGGCCGGGCTGAGCTGCAGTTTGGGGACCAGACCCTCCATGTGTCCACCGTGCAGATGTGGCTGCTGTTGAATTTCAATCAGACGGAGGTGCCTCAGCTCCTTGGCCTCTCGCTATCTTCTTCTCTGCTTTGTCTGTCACTGTTCTTCTCAAGTCTCTCCCTCCTTCCTTCTGTCCTCCCTCTTATTTTCCTTTCCCTTGACTGTCTTCTCCTGACTAGCCCTGTTTCTCCTGACCAGGAGGTGTCAGTAGAGGCTTTGCTGAAGAATTCTGACCTCAGCCCCAAGCTGCTGCTCCAGGCACTCCTGCCCCTCACTGCTGACAGCGGCCCTTTGACCCTGCAGGAGGGTCAGGACTTCCCATGTGGGGGTAGGTCTGAGGGGGGCTGGGCTGAGCCTCTGCTCCGAGGGGGCGGGGCTCTCTGGGTGGGGG